CGGGGGGCTGGGCACGCACACACTGGCACAGCGGGCTGACCACGGGAGGCGGGGCAGCCGTGGACTCAGGCGGAAGGCCACCGTCCATGTCTGAGCTTGGTGACGTGGGCCCGCGGGGGCAGACAGGGTTACGGAGCCAGGGTTTCCTGTTCTCAGCGTGGCAGGGCCACGGGTCAGAGGCCAGCTGAGAGGCCCGGGGGAGGCCTGGCAGGATGGTCGCTGCCCTGGCCAGAAAGATGGGCAGATGTGGGCTCTGCTCAGGTCCTGGAGCAGATCACGGGGAACATCTGGTCCGCACGCCAGGGCGGAGGGTGCGGGGGGGCGGGGGAGGCAGACAGCCCGTGTCGGGGGCCTCGGTCCAGCCTTCGTTTTAGATGACCAAGCCCGGTCCAGATGGTGACCACAGGGGACCAGAGAGCCGGCACACAGAGGTGGCGGGGGAGGGTCGCTGGGGACGCGGGAGTGACGGTCACATCGTGGAACCTCCGGGCCCAGCAAACCCCAGGAACTCGACGGGGCCGGCTTGGGAAGGGGTGACGTGGAGCCTCCCCCCCGCCCCCAGGCTGTTTGAGGGAAAGGCAGGGCTTTCTATGAAACCCTCATTCGGATGCATTTTTACTAAAAAACAAACCAACAAAACAATGTCCTGCCGGCCGTTGTGGCTCAGAGGTTGAGCACTGACCTATGACCCAGGAAGTCGGGGTTTGATCCCTGGTCAGGGCACAGGCCCGGGTTGTGGGCTGGATCCCCAGTGCGGGGTGTGCAGGAGGCAGCCGATCCATGACTCTCTCTCATCGTTGATGCTTCTCTCTCTCCCTCTCCCTTCCTCTCTGACATCAATAAAAATGCTGCTTAAACAAAAATTCACCGTAGCCGGTTCAGCTAAATGGTTAGAACGTTGCCCCAAAACCAAAGGGTTGAGGGTTCGGTTGCAGGTTCCACGCCCGGCCCAGGTCAGTGTATGTCTCTCACATCGATGCTCCTCTCTTTCTCCTCCTCCTCCCCCCTCCCTTCTGCTCGCTCTGAAAATCAACGGGAAGGTATCCTCAGGCGAGGATTAAAAACAGCAGCAAACACAACAAACAAAACCTAAACCTCATTCTTTCAAAGCTGAAAAACTGGTTACAGACGGAATGGAGACGAAAGCCCCCCCGAGCTGTTTCCCGAGGCCCCTCAGGCCTGGTCGGACCTGACCTTGGTCTGTAATGGTAACGGCCTCGTCTCCAGGCCCTGGGGGGCAAGCGCCCCTGCCGTTTCCTCCTCTGTAAAGGGGCCCAGCCTGTGGCCTCTGAGCCTGTTCTGGGGGCCCCGCCCTGCTGGGGCTCCGTCCTTCTCGCCAGCACGCCCCTCTGTCTCTTGGAACGGTGGCTGTGGCACCCCGACCCCCACACGAGCACAGGGGAGGTGAGCGGGGGCTGCCCAGCGAGACCCCCACTGCCCACTTCCACGGGGCTGCCCCGCGCATGCCCATGGGGCTGGCGTTGAAGGCGTGTCTGGCCAGCTCTCAGCCACTGCCCCGCAGCTGCCCACGAAGGGCTGGCGGGACCGCGAGGTCTGCCCACCCTCGGGAAGGGCCTGGGGCGGCGGGGGCGGCCTCAGGAGACCTGGCTCCTGCCCAGGCTGTGAGTGGGGGCCAGGCTCCCCCTTCTGCCCCCCCCAACATGAGGTGCCCGAGGGCCGGTCAGGGCGGGGAGTCACAGGACTGGCTGCTGAGACCTGAGGCCGCTCCTGCAGCCCCAGCTCGCGTTTCCCGGTTCGGTGGTTCGGGAAGGCTCTGTGGCTTTCGGAAGAAGCTGTTTCATCTGGTTCCAAGCGCTTGCATTTCAGCGGGGAGAGTCCAGCAG